TTAGTTTTGGCTTTGATCACAACAATGAATGTACACTGTCTCTGTCTAATATATTTCTATTTATTTATTTGAATAGGAATAAAACTGCACAAAAGGAGTGGGCTGAAGTAAAAATCTCATGAGTACCCCCACCCCCAAAGCTACAATATAATCAAACTTGTCATATAACAAAAAAATTGTACAGAACAAGGACACAAATGCACACAAAACCAACTACATCTGCACATCCTGGATTATGGAATAAACAACAGTCAACAATTAGAAGAAGTAGAGCATACAATTAGTTATGCCTTAATAAGATTAGCCCATTAATAACTTATCATTCAAATTTGGGACCGCTTAAAAGATGCAGTTAGAAATGTTGTTAGCTTAGCCGTAGCACCAACCTCGAAACCACTCCCCCCTCCCCTCACCTCTCCACCAAACCAAACATCCAGCATTTTCGTGTCTTTGTCACAACAGGGAGAGTGGGCGGCAAACGTCTGATAAAAAAAATCTGATAACTCAGGTGCACTCATGAGAAACAGGAAGAGTGTGAAGGGGGTAAACGCATCCCATTGGTTTTTTTTGATAGGTCCGCTCCAAAATATTTGTTGAATTATTTTTTGGAGACTATGGGCATCTGCTCAATTCCATTATTATTTGAAAACACATGATTACTTGACTACATTTAGGGTTTAGGGACATTTTCCCACAATATTTAAACAAAAGGACTGCATCTTCAACACTCATTTTGACGACCTGTAGTTTTGTAAGTGTAGTTACTTAACGTGTGAACATTGTTGGTCTTCATAACTTTGCGACTTTTTCTGTCTCTATGTGTAGTTTGTTGCTAAGTCAATATTTTTATGACATTTTCTTTTACTTTTTAAATGAGAGCATTTTTATCATAGCAACATAATGTTTACTTGTTACCAGTTGGCATTTGGTAGCTTTTAAGAATCTACTTTTTCAGTTTTAACACTTACTAAGTGAATAAAGGTTATTAAAAAAAACCTGGTTTGAATGAGAGCAGTCAAAGTTACGGGGTTTCATAATTGTGGGAGTCCTGGTGTTAAAACTAATATAACATCGGATTATACAGTTAGCATATTAGCAAACAACTACAGACTTTACCGGTGTAACTGCCTCCAACTAAAATGTTACTGCAATCTACAAAAATGTGTTCTACTCTGCTTCTGTCTAGGTCCTTTAAGGCTTTAAGAAATTTCATTTTTGGATGTTTTCTATGGCATAAACTTGAGATATTAGAAAATGCATGAACGGAAAGCTGTCATGTATTTCCATTTTTGGGAGCCCTCTAGCTCCCTAAGTTTGGAAACAAAAAGTAGAACAAAAATACAAGTTACAAATAAAAAAAGAAGTAAGTAAGTGAGTAACCTTTATTTATATACCGCCTTTCACAGACCAGAGTCACAAAGCGATTTACAATTGTTATCTTGGGCATTTGTCCTCTCTCTCCACACAGCGACGGGAGCAGGGTCTGAAAGAGTGATCCTATTTTTAGTATAGCGTCATCTATAGACACTAATTGAAACTACAGTAAAGCTTGAGGAGTCACTAAGAAGAAGATTTATTGTAAAAACACATTTCATTCATAAACTGCAGCTCAATGTGCTTTACGCAGAGACAGTGCAGAAAATCACGATAAAGAGGCACATTCAAAGTCTACATGGGAAATAAGGTTGAGGTCTGAAGAACCACGCATTTCAAATCACACAAACTATGTCTGTCTTTCATGAAAACTTTAACAAAATTTGACCCTTCCACAAAAGCTCAAGAGAAAAAGCCTTCTCCTGAAACAGATCAAAGCTTTTATATTTGGTGTCAGTGAGTTTATTGCCTTTTTCTCATCATTCTGGCCCCACAGGAGTCAATAAGTTTGCTGTTACTTCTTGCCATTTGTATTTAGGTTAGTGGGCTGAGCAACATGTCCCTGAGCACAACATGTACAATCGATATCACTGGACTCCTGCGCGGATGTGGATTAATGAATTGTACAAAGGTGGTTTCTTAAAGATACAGTATGGATTTTTGGAGGGGGATTTTCTACTTCCAGGTGGATCATCAAGACTCTATGACTATTGGTCATCACAGTTGTCAATCATTCTGGTGACACGTGCTCGAGTTTTGTTATAAAGGTGGAGAGGGCGGTTCTTTCTTGACATTTTGAAAAATCCTCCTATATACAGTACCTTTAAGCTACACTGCAAAAAAATGGTGAAGAATGAGATAAAAAAAAAAATTCCTGTCTTGATTTGAGAACATCCTGACTGTCTTAAAACAAGATTTGCTAATGGAACATGCTTTTTAGTCTTATGACACGGCTCCTCACAGCAGCAGGAGAACGCTCCATTGATTTGAATGTAATTTCAAAACGTTCTACCGCTCATTATTTCTTGATAACGGACCTCTCAAAACAATAATGACGGCTGCCCTTTGGCAACACACCCTCCGCTTGTAATTCAGATGTGTAAATTTCTCCGCAAGTAGTTCCGGCCACTTCGTCGCTATCGGAGCTAGCCACGCTCAATAAACGCAAATACCAATCAATCAACACATTTAAATGTTAATGGGAGAATACATTATACATTTACATTCTTAACACAGGTGCACGGAGGATTTCAGAAGCATCTGTTATGGTTTTCATGACAAAAATACTGTTTTAATGCGAGAAAAAGCTATCGTAAAAAACCCGGAAGTAGAGTCCGGGACATTTTTAGACACATTTGTAGAGGATCAAATTATGGATTTAGATTTAAATTATATATGGCTCACTCACCGCTGATGTTCAGAATTCTTTGTTGGGTTTTCATGCAGTTCGAGAGAGTTCTAGTTTGGGAGATGCTAGCCTCTCCCGCATAGCTACGGGAAAAGCTTTGGGAACTATTTTATTTTCAGTCATTAAATAAACGATAATGACCTGCGTAACATACATTATTCCTTACTTATTTCAATAACTATTGCTTTATTTTCTCATTCTAAGGGAGACATTTATTTCATTTCATATTCATATATTTCATATTCATTTTGGTATCTTTTTAAAACAAAATTATTTTGATTTTTCCTATTGGCAAATCTTGTTTTAAGGCTTTCAGAAAGTGGCCAAATTAAGACACATTAAGACACACAGTAGCCAAATTTAACATATTTATCATCACTTTTTGCATTGTAAAGATAGAGATTTTACTGTTGTGTTATATTTGATATTCACTTATCTTGTGTTGTGTTCTCCTCATTCCTACTGTTCTGTATCTTCTGACTCTGACATTACTCCGCTGTGGGACGAATGAAGGATCTCTTAATCTCAATCTTTAGTTAGTTAGTGTATTTATGTCAGGCAGTATCTTCACTTAACAGAGAAACACTCAAAACCTCATAAAATATTTTAAAAAAACAACTATATAATAATGTGTATACTTTCTCACATAATGTAATATACATAGGTTGGCAGATAAGATTATTAGTGTAGTCAAGGATATCCCGTATAGAGTCAATATTAATTTGTAGTTATGTCATAATATTGTTGAAAAGTACAAACACAACAGAACACATTGCTAAAAATAGCTCCTAGTATATAGACTGAATGTTGCGTAACAGCAGAATTGGGGAGATAACGGCAAAGAGACTTCATGGGGAAGATGGATCTCTGTGTCCTGTTATTCAAGTTCATTTTGAATTTCTAAACTAAACTACTCGACCGTTGGAAGTGCTGTTGTGCAGTAGACTAATACATGTTTAGGATTCGTTAGCTGGACTGGATCTACCACAGCCGGTTCATGGGAGCAGATCTCTCGCAATACGGGCCTCTCCAAGGTTTCTCACTTTTCATCCCACTGGGTTTTTGAGTCGGGTTTAGGTTAAGTTGCCGCAACAGATAAAGCGGAAGTAAAAGAGTGGTTCGTTGCAGATGCAGGATTCAGTAAAGTCCTTCGAGATGACCGCTGTTGCTGAGATTTAGGGCTATATAAAATAAATGCAGTCGGATGTATAAAGTTTCCAGTGTAATCAGCCAACGCGTTTTTGGCGGATTAAACTGGAACTTTTTGCATCCGAGTGCCTCAGACATCATACTTGCCCAATCAGGAGAGCACCGGCTTCTAGCGAATTTTGAGCCACCTGAGCACTCCTAGCCTTTCCTTCTTAGTAAAATAAATGTCATTGAATTAGTAAAAAGGAAAAAAATGGCTGATTGAATATGTGACTAATCTTATGCATCCTGTATCAATTGGCAGACCCTTATTATTTACTCAGAGCAGATCGATGTTGTGCGGTTTAGTTCCCAGCATAGGACCAACCCATCAGAGCCTTTTCGTCAAAGCTCTGTAGCCCTCACAGTTTGTTCACTATTGAATTATGTTGAACTTTTTAACTTTGAGGTGAAACTCTTTATGATCTTGCATGGCGGAACTACAAGGCTCTGGTGAGAGTCAGGTTACAAGTGTACACAATCAACACCTGAAACACTAAAACATTTATAGCCAAGGCTAGTTTGCATATAAGGGCTTTTGGTTCCATTCAAAACATATTTACTTGGTTAAATTCACATTATACAAAGGCAGATCATTGATAGCCACACAACTGGCTTGCCTTAAGAAATTGCTTCAATTTGGGTTCGAAACCGACCCAGTCCAAGTTCAGTTTAAGCTGAGGACTTAAGGAGTTCCAGAGCTTAGCCCCGAAGTGCGAATGTCTGAATGTTGGGGCACTTTCCCGTTTCCAATGGAGCAGCCTCATGTGATGGAGCCCATTGCCCTCAGAGGAACTGTGAAGCTCAGTTATACTCGCGCGGCGCGGAGCTTACGGAGGTGACGTGACGTCACTTGCGCAACGCGTTGGTCACCGCAAGGCCCTTACGTTGCCTGCGGCGCAGCAGCGAAATTTTCTAACTACGTAAGGATCGCCGCAAGGAAGTTCCTCTGTGATTGGCCTGTGTTTGATCACGTGTATTTGCTGGGCGGCATCTAGCTCTGTGCTTTGAGCGCCATTTTTAAATCACCATGGACCACGTAGAGGAGAGGCTGTGTGAAGAGGTTCGCAGATATGTTCATATCTACGACGCCAATTCCCGGGACTACAAAGACGCCCAGATGACCGGAAATTTGTGGCGTGAAATCTCCCAGACGTTGGGAATGGATGTGGCGGAGTGCCAACGACGGTGGAGGCTGGTGCGGTACAAATTCGTCCGTCTGAAAAAGAAGATGGTCGGACGAAGTGGGGAGGCCGGCGACGGACAGAAAGTGCCCGGGTTATTTCATAGTCTGTCCTGGTTATCCCCATACGTGAGGCACCGTGAGCGACAGACCTCCACAAATGTGACGGTAAACTATTTTAAATCTGTTGTTTTACTCGAGGGGCAAAAAGTGAGATACTGGCTACCATGCTAGCCAGCATGCTAACCAGCACTACCGAAGTATAGTTGGTTTTACATCGTCACAGCGCCAGACAAATGTTCAAGACAAAATATCGAATGCAAAATCAGAGTACTATACTAAAGTTTTAGTTGTTACAGAACGACTATGATGTATTTTTCTTCGGGTTAACGTGATTGGGATGTAGCTCTATTGTAGTGTAGCCAATACTTTGCCTGTCAGAGTAAAGTATACTAGATTCAGGTCAAATTCTGTCCATGCAACGGTAATTTAATTAATTTATGACCTGAAATCCTTTTGGAAAAAATTCATCAAATTGTCTTTAAGCAGGGGCTCGACTGTGCAAACACTTATTCAATCAATTCAGATTACAGACGTAGGTCCTATTCACTTACAAATGTCAAAATCTCTTGCGATTTCACTATAACATCCTTCATATCTCTTGCCAACACCGTTGGGAAAACTGCTCTATTTTGTCAAACACACAGGCTGATATTTGCATTTGTCTAAAGTCCCGAGTTGTTATGCACTGCTCAGTAAAGTGGCAAAATCACTTGCAAATATATTCCAGCAAAGTGTGATTGTCTTTGATTATCACTGTGCATAAGTGAAGCAAAAATCTGTGGATAAACAAACCGGCTGGTGCGAAAGTTCAACCACATCTAATTCTTTCTGCAAAGGTAATTATGCAGGAAGAAGGGCGTTAAAAATGACCGCTTATTCCTGGCATAACTCGCTGTCCTTGGGAGTGTGTAGTGAGAGCGGATGACAATAACAAAGTAATGTCGGCTGATAAGGAACGGCAGAGTGGTGAAGGCTTGAAGGTCAGAGCTGGTGGTGCTGGGAGCTCCCAAAACGACGAGGATTCTGCTGACATCCGCCGTCTTTGTTCCGCGTAATTGGCTAAAAGACCGAGCAACTATATTTACTCATCCCCCGAAGAACATTAATTACAGGCAGAGAAGAGCTGCATCATTTCGGTTGTTAAAGATTTTTTAGTGTGTGGACTGGAGCTCAAAATGCAAGGATTTATGAGAAGGCAGGGGCGGTTTGTTTGCAACATCAAGAAGCAGACATATTCAAAGTAGTCTTCAGCTGTTATGTCTGACACCAAAACTGGCATTAACATTATCACTTTCTTTCAAAGTTTCCAACTCGGATTTCTCAACAAAATAGGCCCCAAGTATCGGTGTGTTTGTGAAGTGTAATGAGTGATAAGATGAGATAAGATTGACTTTATTGATCTCACACTGGAGAAATGTCACATTTGGCACAGATAGAATCACTCTGATTGTGCAAAAAGACAGAAGTGTGCGAACATGTTAAAGCTAAATAAATATAGTCTGTGCAAGATTTAATTATGTACAATAAAAAAGTGGCAATAGCAGTGCAGTCAGTCCTAGTGCATTAGTGACTTAAAGTGTGTTGAATACGTAATTAATGGCTCTTGTGCAACTTATAAACCTGCATCTGCACATGAGTTTAATCTCTTATGAATAAGTTAGGCCCGTGTGATAATAGTAATTGGTCAAAAATAATTACGATCATAAACCGTGATGGGAGACTGTGATGGGAGACCTCGGGGAACACCAGGTGCCACAGTGGGGCGGCTGCGGCTGTAAAGTGCCAAACTGTTGTTGTGTCCTTGGGCAAGAAACTTCACCTACATTGCGTGAAGAATGAGTCTGGTGTGTGTGTGTGAATGGCTGGTGGTGGTCGGACCAATGGCAGATACTGGGTGCCTCGCTTCTGTCAGTGTGCCCCAGGGCAGCTGTGGCTACAGTAGTAGTAGTTTATCACAGCTGTGTATGGAGTGAATGATTAATGACATGTGAAGCGTCTTTGAGTGTCCAGAAAAGCGCTGTATAAAACCGATACATTTTTCTAAACTGTGAATGAAATATTATTCTCTGGGTTAATTTACTGACTAAGATCTATATATGGAATACATTGGACACATTCCCAGTTGCTTTTGATAGTAACTAAGTAATACACTGAACAAATATATAAATGTAGAACTTTTGTTTTTGGTCTCATTTTTCTGGATCCAACCAAAAAATACACAACTACAGTGTGATATCAGAGATTGTTCACAAATCTGTTTCTGTGAGCTCTCTTCTTTGCTGAGACAATCCATTCACAGATGATGATATATATAATAAACTTCACATTTATTTCTCTTATTTGATGTGTTCTGTTATAGATTCACATCGACGGCCTCAGTTAAAATTGTCTCAGGTGAATTATATAAGTCTTTAGTTTTGTGTGGATGCATACATTTACAGAGCTAGCCTATCATCTTCATATTAGCACGTTTCAGCAAAAGATTACATTGGGATATGCAAGACGATATACATTGGGATATGCAAGACTGTGTGAGGACGAGGCGAGAGGGTTTTGGTTGAAACACTTGGGAATGTCCCTATGATGGCCCTAAGGTTGCTGGATGCTAGCAGGAACTGGAATAGAGATCCAAGGCGTCCCCAAACCCGCTCAATGGTTGAAATGTCCGGTGAGTATCTGACCATGCAAGAACTGAATCATAAACATATTAGTGTTTATTACCACGTGCACAAAAATGTTTATGTTCACTTAAAGATTGCATTTGCAAAAACATTTCTCTGTTTTGAAAATTTGTCAACAAATGTGTTCCTGCAGCTACAATCCTCAATTTTTGTTGTTATTGGCAGTAAAATTGAAGGAATTTGCACAAGAAGGGGTGAAACTTTATTTTCATGGCACAAAAATATGTTTGGCTTTTCACAAAACTACTACTAAAGGGCTAATTGTAAGCCTTTTGAATATTGTTATAATGGCACTTGTCTGTTTTTGCACACAAAAAATTCACTTGGAGTTATTCTCACCTTAGCGCCCGGTCTTGAGAGTGGTCTTAGTACAAGTTCCGGAGAGAAAACTCAATATTGAAGACTAAGAAGACAATTACACACAATAATAATCTGACATCAAGCACAGCGTGAGCGGTGGGAAGTCTAACTCCAATATGAGCATAATTCCCTTAGAGTTGGTTCATAAATAAAATCATCAATTCTGCTGCGTCTCACGAGTCCAAAGACCTGACTCTTGCCAAAGGCGTTCATACTTTTCTTTATGAAGTCAGCGGAGACCAGGGACAAGGCCACAGCCGCATCTTCTCTGCTTTGCAAAGACACTCAGAGACCTGTTTGAGGCCAGCTCTGTTCAGCCTCCAACAGCCTGGCACAGTCTGCGTATGAGGCACCTGGACACTGACTGTGGCGCCAACAAGATGTGTAATTACTCATCATTTGTTGTCTTCATAACTTTGTAACTTTTTCTGTATCTATATGTAGTTTACTGTAGTTCTAGTATTCATTATTTTAATTAAACCCTCTAGTACTAGTTACCATAGCAGCCCACTGTTTACTGTCAGCAGTTAATATTTAGCCTTTGTTGTAAAAAAAATGAGTAAATACCTTGTCATACAGAAAAGTCTAAATGCTAACTGTTGCCAGTAAACAGTATGTTGCTATGGTAACTAGTAGTGGCTCTTCTCCAGGCGTTAATGGTAAAACTGATCACATTTTTAAAAAACTATTAAAAAAAACTAATTTCATCCAAACAATGACATATATATTTTAGTACATAGAGATAGAGAAAAAGTCACAAAGTTATGAAGACTAAAAATGTACCTGCGTGATTACACATCCATACCTAAAATGACTGGAAGTCAGCTCTGGGAGTTCTAGTGTTAAAGCTGGAGTACCGAACTTCTTCATCACGAATACTTTTTTTTGTCCCAACAGAAAGAGTCCTGTTCCTATTCTGAAAAAACTGACCACATTACACTGTACACTGTATCTTATTACAAAAACATACTATGTGATTAAGGGCTGGTATCTTTTTCACTAAACTAAAAAGGATTACTGTTGAAATTATACTCGGAAATTCTAGTGCGTGATTCAGTTCTTCGGTGCGGTGACCGTCTAGTTCCGGTAACAGACAATAACAGGAAATGGTTGGCAGGGTCCCAGCAGACATCCACCCAAGTGAAACTGAAGCCTGCTGTAAACTGTCACAACAGCTGTAGGCTTCTCTCACATGGTCCCACGCACATGGTACTGGACTGAGGAGGAAGAGGACACATGGTACAGGACAGGACTGAGGGAGGAAGGGGTCACATGGTACAGGGCTGAGGAAGAAGAGCTCACATGGTACAGGACTGAGGAGGAAGAGGACACATGGTACAGGACAGGACACATGGTACACGGGCGGCACGGTGGCTGAGTGGATAGCACTCTCGCCTCTCAGCAAGAAGGTCCTGGGTTCAAATCCCGGTTGGACCAGGGCCTTTCTGAGTGGAGTTTGCATGTTCTCCCTGTGTCTGCGTAGGTTTCCTCCGGGTGCTCCGGTTTCCCCTACCACTAAAAATATGTACAATAGGTCTGGCATGTGCCTCCTGTACTGGCGACCCCCACTCCCAAAAAAAAATAACAATTGTAAACCGCTTTGAGACTCCGATGTGCAGTGAAAAAGCGGTATATAAATAAAGATTACTACTACACTTCTGGTTCCAGTTTTCAGACTCTGCACAGGAACAAATGATAAAGGCCACGGAGATGCTTTAATCTTTTGTATGGATTTGGAAACAATGAGTTGGAAACAATGAACACATGAATCAGTCTGAATATCATTGTTAAGATCTGATCATTTATTTGAATATTTATTCTTCAAAGACCCGAGTGAGAGTATATGGAAGCCCGTTGCCGCCATGTAAAAATATAAATAAAGCCTACATACACAGAGAAACTCAAAATACTTGAGTTTCTCTGTGTATGTAGGCTTTATTTGAATCATGCTAAACCAAGAACACGTCTTGCCTTGATACAGCCTGATACTAAACTATTATTAAATCCACCCGCCTCATTTTGGCTTGAGCACAAAAGTTGGGCATACCCAAATGTCTTTATTTAAAAACACATCTTACATGTCACATGCTTGTGAGATCCATCAAATTAAAGCTAGAGCCTTCTAGATTATGTACTTTGAAGTTTTTTTAGCCTCGCCTAAAATCTTCAATTTCTAAAGGCCCTAAAAAGGCATACTTCATTGTAAGTTCACAATATTCAAACTCTGTGGTCATTGTGTTGTTGGGAACAACTGTGTAAAGTTTCAGACTTCTAACTTTTATAGTTTTTACACAGTTTCTCTTATTCATCAAGTAGTGCCATTCGGAACCTTTGTGCCAAATTGCTTTACTGACATTTCATCATCATAAAAACCATATTTTTTGTTTTTGGTACTTATAAGTTACTAATCTATGTGATTTAAAAAAAAAAAAAAAAATCTAAATTATTTTCTTATGAGTGTAAATTCATATAATATATGCGCTGCTCGAGAGCAATCTCTCTCCCTGCCGTTGCGCACGCTTGTACTAACACAAATAAACACAGCACCCCCATAACACCCATTGCTAGAAAGCTTTCCTTATTGGCTACACGGACATGTCAATCATTTGGCCAAAGAACACTTCCCTAGCCGTCTGGCTAACAAGGCCGTGCACAAATGTTTGCTTGTCTTTTTCACGGGCCTGTTGCAGACTAACGCTGGCACCTATCTCTTCATGGACGGTCTCATTTTGTAGCTAACAAGATGGGGAACACGGGCATACCCTGTGTGTGGGTGAAAAATAAAGCTAAAGGTCGGTTAACAGTAAAAGAGCAGCCCCTGTGCTCTTATGGATGTTAAGAGGAATACGTTTTTATTTGTCTTTGGAAACAGTAACTCTCTCACAAAATGTGTTTGTTTCTCACTGAGCAGAAGCACCATGTCCCCTCAGTCTGTGTGTCCTCATGTGTCCTCACGTGTCTTCACGTGTCCTCACGTGTCTTCACGTGTCTTCACGAGTCCTCACGTGTCTTCA